TTTGGATAGTAAAGATCCAAAATATAGTAAATAGCCACCCAGTTGGGAATGACCATATAAAGTGAAAAATATATTGCCTAATGGAGCCTACCATTTAGAAGATCCGAATGGTACTAAACATATGAGGTTCATTAACGGTAAATATTTGAAAAAATATGTTCCTTCATAGTGGCATAAATAAACAGTATTGTTGAGCGATTATGACAAATAAAACGAGAACGAAATACATTCAAATAAATTCTTTTATTATCAAATATTTGTTACAAACTATGAGATACAAAATATAAAATGCTCTATAAGCCGCAATTGGAAGTAGACTATCATCGTTCTTCTATCAACCATAAAGAAAATGGTGAATTGGCCTTAATCGCCTTCCTAAATGTATTGCTGCAATGGAAGGCAAGAAGGCTAAGAAGCACTCTCAACAAGCAATTGGCTCTCATCTAAAACTCTATCTGGAGATCATAAATGGAGGAGGTGCTGAGAATACCTTCATTGACCAAAGAATATTTCATATATCTCCCATACCAAAGATAATATCAAGACAGAAGGTAAAATGGAGAACATATCAAATGATCCATTTCTGTCGAATGAGGAAATAGTTGATTAATTATCTGAATGCCAAACGATGACAAGTAAGCTGATTTTGTGGAGAATGAAGATCAACCCTGGCCTTCTCAATCTCTTGAAGCAAAGACTCATTTTTGGTTATAGCATGGAGATATTGAGTACTCTTGACCTTCAACTTGACATTCCTGTTTAGCAAAGAGCTAATCTCGGAGTGGATAATCTTCAATGTCAGCTTAAAGTCGGATGAAATGTTTAGAAAGGCGAGATGTCTTTACTTGATCCCAAAAGGTGAACAATGCAACATTTAGCATTTTCATTGCAGTAAATGAAGTGAAGATGAAAAGTAAAACAAATGCTACCTCATCAGCAGCTTTGAAAAGTTGGGGGACATCACTGGTCGACTCAGCCACTTCAATAGACGAGTAGGCTCTGCTACAACGGGCAAGTCCATAGGAACCTTCGCAAAATTCAGGTAGCAATAAGTCGAAGGCTAATAGTACAAGCAAGAAAATATCATAAGATATGAATTACCTTCCGGTTCAAAACGCGGAGGTTCAACGCCCTGGGAAGATGGCAGCTCTCCAGCTATCTGTGGTGAAGATTCTGGGACTGTGGCTTTCTCTTTAGGTAGAACCCCTGCATTAGATGACTTGGATGAAGCTACTTCAGTAAAAGGTGATGGAGTAGGGGCTGCTAAAACCAGAGCCTTCGAATGAGAAGTGGAGCTCTTCTGAAAAAAATCAGGTAAAGCATTAACCTATGAAGGATTGTTTTTCATGAATAAACAAACTCAATTACCTTTCTCCTGACGACGAGGGGAGTATCATTATCATCATCATCATCACTCTGCAAAATTGGCGAAGCTGAAGCTGGTCTTTTGCTGCTGGAAGTGCCTTTAGCTGTACTAGCTTGAATAAGAGGAGAAACAGATGAAGGAGCAATATGTTTAGCGCGAGCAGGTGAAGTGAGATTCCTAATAGACACATGAGTGGCAAGAATAGGAGAGGGGGAAGAAGTTGCTGGCCATTCTAGCAGGTGGAAAGCACGGTTAACGTCAGAAGTGAATAGCCTATGCTTTACAGATCGCCAAAATTGTTCAAAAGGAGGATGAATAGCAGAAGTAGGATGAAAAGAGGCTAATGAGAATCCAGTTGCCAAAAGAGTATTACGGGCATCAATGGATTGTGCTTCTATTTTATTAATAGTATGGAAACGGTCAATCAGGCTTTTGGAAAAGCAAAGAAGAACTGGCCACTTTAGCCAAAGCCAAGCTGACGAGCAAAAAATTGAATAGCATATATCTCTACCCCAACCCTGGCATTTGTTCCACTCAAGATATCATGGAATAACTCTTTCCCAAGCAAAAATTGGGCCCAAATGGGCAAAAAAGTGCTCACGTCATCCATGGTAGATAGGGATTGCACATAATTTGGAATTGAATGAGCAGTAAAAGGGGAAAAAAAAAAAGAAAGGAATTGAATCCATATTATAAAAGAAGGAAAAAAAATGTCCCTATTGGACCTATTTACAAGGCTCAATTGGTTGGTGGCTAGCCGGTAACAGCTAGCAAATTGAAGAGGGGTAGATGGAGCATCGAGTTGTGGAAAGTATGCTCTCAACCACAATTGAACGAGCCAAAGAAGCCCACTACCAGTGGGAGATGCATCATTCTTCAATTGAAATTGGAGGGAAGCCTGCCTCTATGAAAGACGGCTAAAAATAATGAACAGAGATTCAAAGGCCTATCACACGCTAATTCATGCGCAATGGGTAGATAACTCATATAAGGCTTCATACTAGGCATACAAATGATATATTTACAAAGCCAAACTTGAAGAAAAGCCACATATTTCCGCTTTTGCCTTCATCATCATCGCAAACTCCCTTTTCATCCCAACACGAATTGATGATACCACAATTTCATCTAAATCTGTATCCTTTGCCATTGCAGCAAAAAAAAATAATAATAAATCAATCAGAAATCTAATTCATATCCTTTTCATAGAAAAGCTCATTGCCATAAAAAACAACTTAATAGATTTACCATTTACCGACCAATCACTATCATACGAAATTTAATTGCAATCAGTAATGTCGAAAAATAGCAATTGTAACATCCATCAGAACATGCATTCAGAACATCCACGACAACAGTATGTCAGGTTATGGAATTGTTGAGGCTCAAAGCAATTAATAAAAATTGAAGAAGGTTATTAGTCCATATAACTCTGTTTATAACTGAAAATAAGATTTTTATGAAATATATTAACATATTTAACCTATTTGCATATTTGAAAAACTAATAGAAATACATTAAACTGGCAAACAAGTTCCATGGTTTAAACGAAATTTCTTTTCAGTGTCTTCTGGGAATATAGAATACACATACCTCAAGATGTGTATTCGAAAACTTCCACACAAGTTCACATCAGGAAAATGTAACTTATATCGTAGTTTTGTACTAGCTCTTACAACCCCCAGAAGGCCTATGGTCGATTTAAACTGAAATAGTTGTTGTAGGGTGAAGCAGAAAAGGTGTGGGAGAAGTTGCAAACTGTAACGTATTTCTCAATTTTGTACAAACAATTACAACCCAGGAAATTTTTATTTATTTATTTTTGCAGTTTCAATTGCATTTCTGAACTCAACAATGAAATTTTCTGTACAAAAAATTCTCGCAGTCGGTGGGGATTTGATGTAGCGAAGTTGGAATTGATGTTGTGGGTAAAACATGTAAAAGCAATTTCCGTTTGTTTTTTGGCCTCCTTCAGGAGCAAAGTAGGGATGTAAAGTCAACAATTATGGGTATAAGTACAGTAGACGGTGGCTTGCCCAATAAGAAATCGGATATTCAAAGACAACATGATAGAAATTGGGGAAAAAAGGGTAGAAATAGAATAAACAAAAAGTTTCACAAATGAATAGTAAACAATGAGTTGTCTCAAAATTCAATCATCCCTATTATTCGATGTCTTATTTAACTCGATAGAGATATCAATTTACTACATGTTTGGCTACACTTGGAAAAGAAAAAGTAAGCTGCCTGTTTTTAGCTTATCCCAAAAATGTATTTGTAATGAATACTTAAATAAGAAAATTTAATTTTTCAAATTTTAAAGCTTCGCTTAAACAAAATTTTCTATTATAGTAAAGAAATTAGACGAGCAGCTGGTACATAACATTCCCACATTTCATAATTATTGTGAAAAACGTCCATACCTTTTATTTTTTTGACAATTTAACCATTATTTTCACATTTCATTGCACAAAAGATGTTTTCACCTATTTTTTCAATTAAAAATTATAAAATGACGAATATACCTCTATCTTTAAATAAAAGAAAAAGAAAGAATTAATTCTAACCACAGTTCCAATTTTTTTTTTTTAAAAAGCACAAATAAGTCACAAATAAATTATTAAAAAGGTAATTAATACATATTTTCCACATCTTTCACTTCTATTGCGAATAACGTCCATACCTTTTATTTTTTGGCAATTCCACCCTTAATTACATATTTAATTATGCAAACCATCATTTCTATCCATTTTTATTCAATTTCTCAATAAAAAGTTGTGAAATAACGAATATACCCTCATATTTAAATAAAAAGCTAAAGAATTAATTGCAATCATAGTTCCAAAATTTTTTAAAAAGAGCAAAAAAGTCCCAAAAAAACTATTAAATTTTTTTTAAAAAAAAAATGCAAACGAGTCTTAATTAAATTTATTAAAAAATTTTAAAAAATTAAAGAGTCCCAAATAAATTAATAAAGAATTAGAAATTAAAAAATATTTTTTATTTAAATATGACAGTATATTCATCATTTCACAGGTTTTTATTTAGAAATTGGATGAAATTGAATAGAAATAATGGTTGCACAATCAAATATGTAATTAATAGTGAAAATGTCAAAAAACGAAAGGTTTAAACGTTTCTCGCAATAACGTTGAAAGAGATGGACATTATGTACTAATTACCTTTTAATAATTTATTTATGACTTATTTACACTTTTTTTAAAAAAATTGAGATTGTGGTTGCAATAATTTTTTTCTTTTTGTTTTATTTAAAGAGAGAGACATATTAGTTATTTTATAATTTTTAATTGAGAAAATATGTGAAAATGATCTTTTGCGTAATGAAATATGACAAGAAGGATGAAAATATAAAAAAATAAAATATATGGATATTTTCAACAATAACAATGAAATCTGGGACGTTACGTGCTAATACCCAAATTCACTTGATCAAATGTTTTACCAGGTCAATCTTGGCTGCTGAAGTCAGCCCCAAGCCATTGCCCCTCCCATTCCTATGATTACTTTCCTATCTTTTACCTCTGTCGCGTTCTTCATATGATTCCGGAGTCGGCTCAAACCCCCTCTCTTGCTTTTCATCGTCCTCTTGTTTACTCCAAGATCGGTTTGCACAAAACTCAAGATCTGTTCAATTCTGCCCTCTATTCACCAATTGAAGGTCAGATCTGCAACTTTGCTTTAGCTATTTGGTTTGCTTTTTTCTGAATTTGTAGTTATGGTATGTTGCTGTTTCTGTTCAAAGATTGCATCTTTATGCTGAAATTGTTACTGGGCTTGTCTTGTTTTCTGTGATATCTGCAGATCTGGTTGGTTCAGTTGAAGACTACGCGTTACCTGGTTGTTTCATTACCAAAGAAAAAAAAAATTTTTGTTACCCATAAAAGTAAAAGTTGACCTGAATGGAAGAAATCCCGGAGTTGCCGAAAAATGATTCTATTCAAATTAGGGAGGTATGGAATGACAATCTTGAACAAGAGCTTGCTCTAATTCGTGAAATAGTGGATGACTATCCTTATATCGCGATGGATACTGAGTTCCCGGGTGTGGTTCTTCGCCCCGTAAGGAATTTTAAGCATATTAACGAGTATAATTATCAGACTTTGAAGGATAATGTTGATATGTTGAAGTTGATTCAGTTAGGTCTGACATTTTCGGATGAAAATGGAAACTTACCCACTTGTGGAAGTGATAGTTGCTGCATTTGGCAATTTAATTTCCGTGAATTCGATGTGAACAAGGACATATTCGCTAATGATTCAATTGAGCTTTTGAGGCAATCAGGTATCGATTTTGAGAAGAATAATGAGATGGGCATTGATTCAAACCATTTCGCCGAGCTCTTGATGTCTTCAGGAATCGTTTTGAATAATGACGTGCATTGGGTAACTTTCCACAGTGGCTATGATTTTGGATATCTGCTTAAGTTATTGACTTGTAGGAATTTGCCCGAGTCTCAGTCTGATTTCTTTGATTTGCTGAACATGTATTTTCCCATGGTGTATGATATCAAGCATTTGATGAAATTCTGCAACAACCTTCATGGTGGTCTGAATAAGTTGGCAGAGCTCCTGGAACTTGAGAGGATTGGCATATGTCACCAGGCAGGTTCAGACAGTTTGCTTACTTCTTGCGCATTCAAAAAATTGAAAGATAACTTCTTCGACGGTTCCACCGAAAAGTATTCTGGCGTTTTGTATGGACTTAGTGTTGAGAATGGGTCTGAAAAATAAGTAGGAGTCGTTCCCTGTGCATGTTCCCTTCTGTATTAACTTGTAAGGCACGAAAATCTCATCTTGGTTGTAAACATTTGCAGTAAGCTGTTGCTCATTAGTTCTGTTGATTGCTTTTTTTAACTGTCTTCTCTGTAACTGAACCCGTGATGGGCGTTGTAGTTTGAATACTGTAAAATATGGCAGTAATTGTTGCAATAACAGTTTAACTTTTCCCTCAGTTCTTTCATTTCCGTGTTGTTTCAGTATAATGTCCTGTCATGAAGATGAAAAAATAAAAAGCATCAATGTGTTTGATTCACTGTATTATATTGTAACTTTACTCACTTGGTGTACGATTTTACCTTGCAAATGAATAACTTCTTCCTGTTATTTGATGTGCTTTTGCTAATGAAGTTCATTACTGTGCTAAATGAAGAGGCAGTCGGGATTACCATGTTTACAGAGACATTATAACCAGAACTGCTCCTGCAAAGTTTCCCTTCCCCATACATATAAGAGAATGTCAACAATGCATGTACGTTTGCATTTATGTTTCTATATCATTGCCGTGATTATGTCAAAATAGAATAATACGAGACGTATGGGATTAAAATGTGATTATAACGTCTTCTTGATATATGCAGACCCTTTGAGCCAAGGAGGAAGATAAGCAACTAGAATGAAGTACGCTATAACCTGCTCGGAAAATGGTACAGCACTTGCTTGTTATCAATTTGTTCAGAAGTCTAGAGATTAATGCTTGGGTAAATAAGGAGAAAATATTATTTAACTTTAAATGGTTCATAGTTCATACTCATATTAGAATTGCTCAGGACAGTTTCATGGAAGTAATCATTCAAGGTTTATGCCATCTCTTGCAGGGATAGCACTTGTTGTTTGCTGCTTTGTATCATGCCTGAAGTAGCTGAATATTGTGCCGACTGTATGGATATGAGTGATTGTTCTACTCGTTGTCGTTAACCTTTAAATGCTATTTGGATTACATGGCTTACCATACATTCATTGCTATATGTCTATAATTTGTTCAAACCTTTATAGGCAAGTTGCTGTTAGGGTCTAAAAGGGCGGGATTCCAATCCCCATTAAGCCTGGGCTTTTGGGATCAATGGTTGGGTCCTTAACAGTTGCACAATCACTTCTCTGCATTTTCAACTTGATACACATCTTTTTAATATGACAACAAATCATTGAACCATAATAGCACATCCTTAAAAATGTTCACTGCATGCAGTTAAGGCTACTCTGGCAAGTTGATCCAACTAAAGTGTACTTCTTGAATGAGAAATATATTTGTTTGACGTTGTATGAATTTGTTAACTTATTCCTTATACTCAGTTCTGAAATGAATTTATTTGAATTTTATTTACTTGGCATTTACCGGTTGTTTCTAGAAATCTCATGTTTTTGAAATGGACAGGTAGCCTATTTATTCTTTTGACCCTAAAATATATTAAATAAACGTATAGCATAATATATTAATCAATAGATATATTTCGTTCTGCCATTCCCTTCAAAGCAGTAGTACCTGCTAAAACTGTTACGATTCTTCCAAATACTTTAAAGTCGTTCTCATAGTTGCAAAACTCTGTCGCTGCATCCCCAGGTTGGTATTTATTCTTAAATATGTGCTTGTATGTATTTGCGTTTAACCTACCTTGTCCAAAACCGTCAGCATGTATCAAACTCTCTCTCTCTCTCTCTCTCAACTTCATCTAATAAATCACCACAGCACAGCACCAGTTGCATGCCCTAGGGTCTCCAGATTCGACGCTCTTTTGGGCTCTTTGGTGGTGTCAATTTCCAAACCTGGGAGCAGTTTTATGATTTCAAGTCACCACTTGAATCTGATTTATACAGAGCTTCGTTGTGAATTTGTAGAAAAGGTTATGTGGGGTCGATTAATAATCCTTGTGGTGTGAAAAATCCCATGGCTTTGGAGTTTGATCATTTCCTTTTGAGAACATAAAAAATTTAATAGAATATTTTGCGCTGCCACTGATGTGTACAAGATTGGGAATGAGACTCAATGAAGAAGGGCAATCTTGAAATTGTGTAATGTTTGTTGCCAAATTGTAGAATCTGGTGTAGTTTAAGGGAAAGGGAGGATGGAGTTGATATTGGTTTGGAGGCCGCTACTGGTTTTCAGGATTACATGGCTGAGGTGATGGTCGGTAGAGAATGGAATGTAATTGTGCTGATGATGATTCTACAACTGGGTCTTAAGGACAGGCTCATGTTTCATTTATTTTGTGGATTCTGTGTTTCGAAGCAAATTGCCCTTGATTCACTTGGGGGATTTTATGTAAATGACAGCCAGTTTATTGAATTTGAAGTCTGCTTTAAAACAGAAGTGAGAGCAAGCTGTCAAATTCTCCTGACTTCTCATTTAGAATTGGAAAAATATATACATTATACAGAATCACTCTTTCAGGGTCGTCTAATGACTAATCAGTGGAACCGACTAAAAGATCATTGGAAAAGAAAAGAAAAAAAAAACTGCTGTATGCATACTAATGGAGAAGCAAAATTTTTGGGGTTGCACAAGCTTAGTTAAAATTATATTGTTTATACACGAGTATTCCATTTCTTAACAATATTGTATGCTTCTTCAAAGTAACATGTAACTTGTCGAATTCCGGTGCTAGAAACATGTATTTGGTAAGATGCAGAATTGAAGAGAAGCTTTCAGTCTCGACAACGATGAAATACTTATTGTCCTAGATGGTGTGCCTGTCTAATGAGGCCGCCACCTCATCGGATGGCCCAGCATCACCCTATAGTTAAAGGACCATGATATGTGTATATAGCGTGGTATATAATGTGAGAGGGGTACATACCTATGAATATTGCTATGTAAACACAGCAATATCCATAGTTAAAATCATACATGAGAATTCTATTTCTTAACAATATCTTATGCTTCTTCAAAATAACGTGTAACTTGTCGAATGCTAGTGCCAGAAACATATATTTGGTAAGTTGCAGAATTTGAAGAGAAGTTTTCAAGCTCAACAATGGAGAAATACTTACCGTCTTACATGGTACAACTGGCTAATGAGGAGTCGTCACCTCATCTAATGGTCCAGCCTCACCCAATAGTTAAAATTATACATGAGAATTCTATTTCTTAACAATATCGTATGCTTATTCAAAATAACGTGTAACTTATTGAATGCCCGTGCCAAAAACATGTATTCGGTAAGATGCAGAATTTGAAGAGAAGCTTTCAGTCTCGATAATGGAGAAATACTTAACGTCATACGTGGTGCGGTTGTCTAATGAGGAGCCGCCACCTCATAAAATGACCCAACCTCACCTTGGGCCATCCGATGTGGTGGCGGCTCCTCATTAGACAGTCGCACTGCGTAGGATGGCACCTACCCAAGTATCTCTCCTCGACAGTGACATACCCATACTGGATATGCTAAACTTAAACAAGTGACTTGTCTTTGGTCACTGGTGGGAGCCAGGCCACAGTCCAATTTTAGCAATTCAATTGCCAGAACATTTGTAAGAAGTTTCATTTTGGATATAAAAGGGTCGGGGGTAGACTGACTGTTAAACTCTTCCATGTCCACGCAAAGAAACACTCCCTAAACCTTCAGGCTCCAACTTTAGTTGTAAAGAAGGCTATCACACCAGTTTTGCACACACACTGCATTCTTCAAGTCTTTAATCAAACAAAATGATGCGAAAGTAACAGTTAACTTAATCCCCATCACCAAAATGATAACATACAAGCACAAGATATGCCTTAACCCATGAGTTTCAGTTTGGGTATCCAACTTCTACACGCAACATTTGCTAAACTTTACCATGTATCTGTAATTCAAGATTTGAGGAAAACAACATCACAAATAATCATTCTTCCATGAATACCTTGTGCAAGTCTTAACTGATTATAAGCAAGCCAAATGTATATTCAACAGTATAATTGGTGCAAGGAGAAAAGAATTGAATATACGATCAGAAACATTCAAATGCAAAATTATATTCATAATGATGGGGAGACAAAATATAACAATGCTCATCGGGTATAATATGACATCAGTATTGTTCTCAAACATTCATCCAACAAACAACACAAAGTTACATAACCAAATAGAACCTTCAAAACAGAGATTTCTTGGAAGCCTTTTTCCCCAAGATTGCTTCCCAAATCAAAGGCAAGAAAGGCCCTTTCTTCTCCAAATACTCCCTAACCGCTTTCTCATCAATGAAAAATCCTTTCTGCCTCATCGCCTTGATCACACTCTGAGCTTCTTCCATACCCTTCTCCCTACAATATCCATCAACCAAACCTATGAAAGTTGCAGTATTCGGGGAATGTCCAGCTTCCAACATCTCAATACAAAGCTCATAAGCATCCTCCAATCGCTTCCCTTTGCATAGTCCCTGAATCAAAACGCCATAACTAAATGCATTTGGAACGATCCCATTACTCTGCATTTTCTTAAAAATTCTCATTGAATCTTCAAACTTCTGTGCCTTGCAGAAGCCATCCACTACAGCAGTGTATACAACCACTTCTGGAATAGTACCCTTCTCACGCATTAACCCAAAAAGCTTCATTGCCTCTTGCACTAACCCATCTTTACATAAGCCATCAAGCATCGCCACAGCATTTGGTATCAACCCAGTCTCCTTCATCTTCTTGAATATCTCATCCGCATCCTCCGGTGGTGGAATTGCTTCGACATTTTCAGTTTTCTCACTGGTACTAACATTTTCCTCCCCAGAAATGCGTTTCGTATTTCCCATCTTCTCGTCAAACCCGAGCTTGAATCTTTCCAGAAAATCATCCCCTTGACTCCTCGACGAACTTGAATTTCCATTTTCCCGACCACGATTGAATTTTGGAAATCTGGCGTTTGGGGAAGGGTCAGATTGCCTTTTTCTCGACTCGTCCCTCAGGGGCCTGTTTGGAATGGGTTCCGGAGGGTAATTGGAATCGCCACCATCGGAGAATGAGCGTAATTTTCTCAATAGGCAAGAAG